GCTTGTCCGTAAAGCACACCCAGAGCCATAAAGCATAGCGCCACCACCTAACTTCTGATTGGTTCCCTGTCACGAGACAGGAATCTGACTTTCTAGTGTCTAGGGCAAGGTCATAGAAACACGTGTTCGGCCGTTATGGCTGCCAAAAGGGAAGCTGGTTCCTTCACTGGGGATGCAGAAGCAGGCAGATCTCTGTGAGTTCTAGGCTGTCCTGGTCCACAGAGCAAGTTCCAGGGTAGCCAGGGCTATACAGAGAGACCCTGTCTTTAAAAAACAAAACAAAATGAAGAAGCTGCCAGCCCATCTTCTAATCTAAGACAGGGAAGCCACAGTGGTCACAGATAGAGGGGAACCTTGTGAAATGGTCATGAAACCCTCCAGGAAGGACTTTGCCCTTTGCTGCATCCTTATTCTCAGAAATTAGCCTTTCTAGGTCATCTTTTTAAAGTTGTTGATTTTTTAAAGATGTATTTATTTTTATTTTTTTGTATATGGGTGCTTTGCCTATGTGTGATGTCTACCTGTGTGTAGACACACAGGACATCAGAAGAGGATGTCAGATATCCTGGATCTGGACTTATAACTGGTGTCAGCCATGGCATGAGTGCTGGGAATCAAACTCCAGTCCTCTACAAGAGCAGTCAATGCTCTTGACCACCGAGCTGTCTTTCTAGCCCTTCTCAGTCATCTTTTACATCTGTTTTGTCTTGGGGAACTCCGACTTACCCCCCTGAAAGTCATCCCATTTTTTTTCAGGGTACAGAGAGGACCCTTATACATGTGTATCTAGAAAAAAAAGGACAGTGGGCCATGAATGTTAGATTAAATCTTATCATTTAGTATAGAAGACATTTCTATTTTACTTCTTTCCTTCGTTACTTTTAATGCAACAGTAAGCCTCATTCTTTCCCATTGAGGCACTCAGCCAGCAGTTCACTTCAAATGTTTGCCAGGTTCGGGTAAGCAGTGGGCTAGCTCTAGAATACTTGCTCACTCTGTGTGAGACTGACTCTAATGACAAGCCTAATGGTCTGAGCTAAATCTTCACAATGACAACATTAAACCAACTAAAGAGGAATACAGGCACTGATGGCAGTAACACTCTCTTCATTTCAGTCACTCTAGTGTTTTCTGGAATAAGTGTGTTGTGGACGTCTTGTTCTCTGTCTTGTGGCTCTGTTCTTGGGTTATTTTCGGGGGCTGTAAGTAGATCTCCCCATTGTTAGATGGTTAATTATAAGAGATCACAGAAACCGGATTTGGGTTTTGTTATGCTTTATAAAAAGCTATCAGCAATGAGGGGGAAATACATGCTATGAAAGTGTTTTGTGTTTCTTCTCATTTGTTGATTGCCCCTAAGGGGTCCCTAAGATAACCTGCCAAAATGAGTCATCACTTCAAAGGTGTTGACGTCATATTAGCAAAAGGGAAGCAGCTGGTCTCTGGTGATTACACACATCAGAGCCCTCTGAGGACACCAGGAATGCTGGGAAGCAGGGCCATGCTCACTGAACTTTCATCAGATGAGAGTTCCCAGAAACAACTCCTTTCTACTTAGGATGTCCCTTGTCACATCAGTCTTTCCAATGACCATTTTGACTTTACTGAACAGCCTGGAAAGTGCTCTTCGCATACAGGGCCAAGGTAACCGGAGAGGCTTCAAAATCCAATCTCAGTGAAGAAGTAACTGTGGCATGCTTTCCACGTTCTTCCTGAGTCTCAGGTCAGGAACCTGAGGGTCAGAGAGTGTGGGTGACTTTCTGAGGGTCACACAGTACTTACTGGTGTGCCCCTGGGCCACGTCTTGGCATACCTCTGGACCAACTCACACACTCTTACCCTGTCCCCTCAAGACACTCTGCACACCTCCATTTCTGAAAGAGCAGATCCCCATAGCTGAGACAGCACAGCTCTCTGCCCTGACACCTGCAATTATAGCTCTTAACATTTTATAAAGCACGGATGCTCTTACTATAAAGTAGGTTAAATATGAAAGTTTTGCACCTTGGCATTCAAGTACCTAATGAATCCAAACACCATGCTAGAGAGGAAATCTCACTGTGTGTTGACACACATGGAGGAGCCTGTGGCTTCTGTCAGGTTGTTATTGGTACAACATAAATGCATATGCCTTTAAACATGTATGTGTGTGCAAGCAAACACACAAGTATGCCCAAGGTTAGACGCACAGGGAAAGAAATTACTACTATGTGACAGAGCTGGGCGAAAGGAATGAGCAATGTTATAATGTCGACACATCACAAATGAACCAGCATGTGTTGTTACAGTCTGTCCCTGGAAACCAAAGGGACAGGAGAGGTGGAAGTGTCAGCAGCAAATGACAGTCTTAGCCTGGTGCTATTTTAAGATTATAATATCAGTTTTGACTCCTCACATTCTGTCACGACAGAGGTTGTCCTGGAAACTTGAAATGATGGTTGGTAATAACAACCCAGATGCTTATTTACCGAAGCCATCACTGTTTTCCATGCCTGTGTCTGAGGGCTGGGGATGAACTGCTTAATAGGGACTTAATAGGGGCTTGTTCGGAGCCTTCCTCATGACGTGTTGACCGGATAACTCTCCCTAGAAGTATATTCCTTCAGTGACTACCCAGGAGAATAACATCGAAAACGGCAATAGCTTTATTCTGGAAAGGTCATCCATGAGCCCACATAGAATGTAAAGGAGATACAGGCATGCATGTGCAGGTGCATTTGCAGCAGCCTCTCCTTGTATGTGTTTATATAGGAAGTGACTAATCCTACAGCACAGATGTAACCATGTATATACAGAGATGGAACCCTACTTAATACACACACACACATATTTGGTGATGTGTATTTTATACACTGTATTCTGTTTTGTTAAGTGTCAGAGTTAAGAAGTCTTTAACAGTGCATTCTTTCGAATTAGAACCCTGGTTCCCAGAACTACTTATGAAATCCAAGGCTTTATTGCTCTGCAACCTAGAGCGTCAGCATAAGGAGACTCCAGGTTACACAACATTGCATGGACTTCAGAATTGCACTCCCTGGATTTAAATCCCAGTCATTGCTGACTAGCCCTACGACCTTGGACACAAAACTTAGCCTCCTTGACTGCTATGTCCTTGTCCATAAAGTAGCAAAATTAATAGCCTCTCCTTCTTAGGACAGATGTAAGAGTCTTATTAGACAGTGTGTGAAAAGCTGGGCGCTGAAGCTTCTACCAAGTGACATTCCAGTCTGAAAAACAAGGGGTGCCATTCTGTACCATGTCAGTTCCTACCCTGTGGAGTGTCTTAGCTCAGGTGTCTATTGCTGTTATGAGACACCGTGACCCATGACCACTGTACTTCTTTTTGTTGTTGTTGTTTTGGTTTTTTTTTGTTTTGTTTTTTTGTTTTGTTTTGGTTTTCGAGACAGGGTTTCTCTGTGTAGCTTTGAAGCTTGTCCTGGAACTAGCTCTGGAGACCAGGCTGGCCTCAAACTCACAGAGATCCGCCTGCCTCTGCCTCCTGAGTGCTGGGATTAAAGGTGTGTGCCACCAACACCTGGCGACCACGGTACTTCTTAGGAAGGAAAACATTTAATTGGAAGTAGCTTACAGTTCAGAGATTTAGTCCATTATCGCCATGGTGAAAAGCTTGATGGCACGCAGGCAGACATGGTGCTGGAGACATAGCTGAGAGTTCTACATCTTGATCAGCAGGCAGAAGAAAGAGCAATCGAGCAATCGAGCCATTGGACATGGCTCGGGCTTCCGAAACCTCAAAACCAACCTCCAGCGACACACTTCTTCCAATAGGGCCACACCTACTCTGACAAGATTACGTCTCCTAATAGTGCCACTCCTTATGAGCCTGTAGGATCCATTTTTGTTCCAACCACCACATGGGGTTAGTGAAGATCTGAAATACAGTGTGTACCCCCAGTACACTGATCCTTGTCCCCCTCGCCCATATAGGACTGAGGCCCCGGCCCATTCCCCTCACCTCTCAGAGAGTGTAACATGTGTTGTAAATAATAGCTCCAGACACAGGGGACAGAGGCTGTGGGTCTCCTGCAGGGGATTGTGCCCCACACCCAACCAAAACTGTACTCTCCAGGTGTGCCAGGCCAGGAGCCCTGTGGCCACTCTAGATGTGCGGGGACCCAGAAACACATCTGTAGTTCCAGGTCCATGGGATTGTGGGAAAATATACTGAGGTATAGACACAGTGCTGGCAGATGCAGGAGTGTCATCAGTACACAGGGTGTCACTGTGGCAGCTGCTGTGGTCATTCCTCCTGTGTTTGGCCACTTGAGAGAGGGGCTCTGTCACGTCTGTACCAGTTCCCCATCCATGTCACATTGCCGGATGATTTCTCAGTCTCCTTGGCAGGGAGGGCCCATAATGTCATAACACATTTACGACCCATTTGTCTGATATATAGGCCCAAATAGCCATTAAAAAAAAAATTCCACCCCAGGCTCTGCCAGGTAGCAACGTTCTTTTGTCAACCAACAAATCAAACAGGTTTACAGCCATAACTATGGAAGGCCCTCTCAGCACAGCCTCAGAGCCATGCCTGCAGTTGTCCAGCATCGGGTCACGTGGCTAGGATGTTTATAAGCCCCATAGCCTGAAGGTGGGCAGTCCCCAGTTCTTGCAGCAGCACTGAGCCTTGTCTACACTGTTGCAGGTGCATCTCCCCAGTATAAACAAGATGTCCATGCAGGCGGTGTTGGAATACCTCTACACCAAGCAGTTGTCGCCCAACTTGGACCTGGACCCCTTGGAGTTAATTGCCTTGGCAAACAGATTTTGCCTGCCGCACTTGGTTGCACTCGTAGGTAAGGCTGGTGACTTTGTGTCTGATAGCCACACTGATCAAAATCACCCTTAAAGAAATACAAGGATTGGATCAGACTCTAATTTCTAGCTCTCCAAACAGAACAGCCCTGGGTGGGTGGGAGAAGCCAGCCCAGTCTATCAGGCAGTCTAATTTGATGCAAGGAGTATCTCCTACACTCCTCTCCTCTGTGATAGACACGTACATGCACGATGATGGGCACCTGGCTTTGGAGGTACACACCGAACCTTATGTGGACCAAAACATTTGAAATCGCACTAGTGGGTCAGCATTACTCCAGGACAGGTGCTGTGCACAGGTGTAGTCTCTGAGGAAGGAACATTTGTGGAGCGGCAGAGAGTAGAGGATCCTGCTCCCTCAGGGGCCCATCCTGGCCCCTTTGCTTCCTGGGTGACTTGTCCTTTGTGTGACTTGAGCACTGTATCTCAGCCTTCTCCCTCTTTAAAATGGGTACATTCGCTGCCACCAAGCTGTGAAGACTGACAATGGCAAATATATCCAGTCTGTAAAACACAGGCTGGCACACAGAAAGCATAGTGTATTTGGTTTTGAGTTTTTCTTTTCCTTTTTTTCTCTTCCTTTCTTTCTTCCTTTTTTTCTTCCTTTCCTTCTCTCCCTTCCTCTCTTCCTTCCTTCCTTCCTTCCTCCCTCCCTCCCTCCCTCCCTCCCCCTCTCTCTTCCTTCCTTCCTATTTTTCTGAGACAGGTTTTACTTTGTGTAGCCCTGGATGTCATAGAATTCACTCTGTAGACCAGGCTGGTCTCAAACTCAACAGAGATCTCTCCCTCCCAAGCTCTAGGATTAAAGGCATGTGCCACCACCGCCCGGTTTTTTTCTTTTCCTTAAAGCTACTTTTGAAAATGTTCTTACATTGTCAAGATCATTTTGGAAAGGGGGGGAAAAAAAAAGATTTGGCTTAACTTCAGAAGTCTTTTCCATAACTTCTCCATTTGTTCAGCTGGTAAACTGGAGCAGGTCTGAGTGGAATACAGGCATTTAAATCCCTTGTTTTAAAACGTTAAGCCTGTGCATCCTTCCCTAGAGGTGTCAGTCAGCAGGCTGGATGCTTATCCCTATACTTGCTTGATTCCTGATTCCAGTGAAAATAGAGACACATTGCCGTTTGCAGGCCTTCTTCATGCACTGGGAGAACTGTCTGTGCATGTTAGGCTTTCCATCAAAACTGACTGAGTAACTGAGTCAGTAAAACGAGCAGAGAACAAGACGGTCCGTTCAATATATACTATACGTCAGAAACAACTTTCGATATTTCTCTGCCCTCCTACACGCAAATTACCTGGAAATAGAGTTCTCTTTTCTTCTTGTGTCTTCCCTAATTTAAAAGAAAGAATTTGCACCCAGGCATGATGGAGCACACCTTTAGTCCCAGCACTCAGAAGGCAGAGGCAGGTAGATCTATTTGAGTTCAAAGCCAGCTTGGTCTACAAAGCAAGTTCAGGACCGCCTCGACTATCCAGAGAAACCCTGTCTTGAAAAACAAACAAACAAACAAACAAACAAACAAACAAAAACCCAGGAAGGAAGGAAGGAAGGAAGGAAGGAAGGAAGGAAGGAAGGAAGGAAGGGAGGGAGGAAATAGGAAAAAGACCTTTCCCCCCATTATACTGAAGTCACAGATTCAAATGAGTATAACACTTTTCACACATTGATTTCAGGAAGCTGCAATGAGAATTCCCTTTTCAGAAATGTAAGTTACAAACCCGGGTAATCACCCATAGGTTATGCAAAGGTCCTCTGAAGATAAATTTGATTTTATTAATAGACAAACATAACTCGGAACCAAATATGTTGAATCTGATCTGTGTTCAGTGTCGGCACAGTGGTATTTTTATTTAGAGATTAAATCTGACACTGATAACATGGGGTAGATCTCTACATGGAATATTTTTTTAAGTGACCCTAAGAAAGCTCCTGTGGAAACTGACCCCAGCCTTCTTGCATGATGTGATAAAATCCTGCTGGTCCCGATCCACATACCTTCCCCACAAGGCTCCTTGACTTACCTATGGTGTCTTGTGTGCAGGGTCTAAAGCAAAGCCTTTAGACCAGTGGTCCCCCACCTGTGGATTGAGACCCCCCTTGGCAACCCCTCTATCTCCAAGTAGATTTATATTATGATTGGAGGTCAGCACAACATGAGGGCCTGTATTAAAGGGTCAAAGCATCAGGAAGTTTGGTTTAGACTTTGTAACATATTTCAGGCTCTGTTTCTAGACTGGAAACACTTTACAAACCAGTGTTAAATAAATTTCAAAAACATGTATTTGCTGCTTTAGTCACTTTTCTCATCGGTGTGACAAACACCTGACACAACCTAAAGAAGGAAGGGTCTATTGTGGCTAGGACCAAGAGCACACACAGTCTATCACTGCTGGGCAGGCATGGCAACAGGGGTAGGAGGCAGCTGGGTCACATTGTGTCTGCATCCCGGAAACAAAAATGGATGGTAGGGATGTGGTTTTCTCATTTTCCTTCAGTCTGGGAACTCAGCCCATAGGATGGCACCACCATACTCAGGCTGGGTTTTCCCACCATGGTCAAACCTTTCCAAAACCATCCTTACAGGGGTGTGTTTCCATGGTGATTCTAGCCGGATCCTGTCTTAACAGTCCCATTAACCATCACATGTGCAGTTACTTAAGAGAGCCCTGATGACTTCTCTGGGAAATTTAGCTCTAAGTAGTTCTGTGAATCTGTCCAGCTGAGGAATGCTGCATCAAAGAAAGCGTCAGCTTGCACAAACAAGTGTGTGGGCTCAAGAACTCAGAGCCGGGGAGGAGACGGGCATGCCTGGACAGGGTAGGCACACCCCAGACAGTGCTGGGTCAGCCCCAGGCCACTGTGGCATGAAATTCCTGGTATCTCGGTGAATTATTAAAATTACATTGATCCCACGCTACAGTCTGTTAAGTACAAAACAGCATTACATCTAGACAACGGAGAAACTCTAACCAAAATAATAATAATAATAATAATAATAATAATAATAATGATGATGATGATGATGATGATGATGGCTTTAAGAAATAAAAATAAAGCCAACCCACCCACTCAGCCTCTAGCCATAATGCAGCCTCCATGCCTGGCTCCTGGTGGATGAGGTAGATCAAGGTGGTGGGACTAAAGGTCACAGCAGCTGGTGCAGCTTTTTCTGATCAAATGACCGTGACATTTGGCTCATTGGCTGACCCCTCTTTTCACAAAAGGTCACTTGGTAGCATGGAGATTCTGTCTGATGGTGATTTTTCCCACAGTAGAATTTCTCTCAAAATTGAAGTCAATCCCCCAAAACCCCACCAGTGATTTTTGTATGTGTTTATGCAGTACACCCTCATGTGTGCATGTGTGTGGCCGCCCCTGTATGTGGGTGCTCGTCCCCACGTGTGTGCTCATGTACGTGGAGGCCCAAAGTTGACGTCAGATACCGTCGTCGCTCATTCTCCATTTTAGAAGCAGGGTCTCTCGCTGAACCTGGGTCTCACCCGTTCTGGGTAGGCTAGCTAGCCATCTTGCCCCAGGAATGCCCTATCTCTGCCTCCCAATGCTCAGATGAGAGGTAGCTGCCTTACAGCCTGGCTCCTTCAAGGGTTCTGGGGACCCAAACTCTAGTTCTCATGCTTGTGTGGCAAGGGTTTTGAATGAGCTACCCACCCCCAGCCACCGATGACCCATTTACCAGAGTTTACAGGTAATGTTCAAAGTCCATTGTCTTCGGTATGCAGTATGACTGGCTGCTTGAGTTTTGCCTTGACTTCCCTGAAATAATGGAGTATGATTTGGGATGGTAAGCCTTTAGATAAACCCACCCCCTCTCCCTTACTCTGCTTCTTGTCAGAGTGTTTCCTCACAACAGAAATGAAGCTAGGACTGTGGGCTTCTGATAGTTAGAACATCGGACTGTGGCCAGATGCTCTACCATATAGGGAACTTAGGAGAACAGGGCCTCAAGACTCATTAGGAAATGAGATCCACTTCAGCCTAAAGCCACCAGCTGCCTCAGCCCCCAGCAAGATGGTTAGGCTATCCTTTGATACTTTGAAGCTGCCCCTGGGGCAGAGGGTGGGGGGATTTCTCTCTAGCTATGTGGGCGGGCCCCTCCCTGGTGGTGCCTCCCTTAGTACAAGGCTGAGGATCTCTTACTTAGTGACCTCTGCTGGAACTTCTGGGTGACTCCTTGTAGCTCCTCATTAGCACTTACTGTATTGCCTCCATCCATCTATTATGGTGACAGTGTCTTTCGGAAAGCCTTTGCTGGCTTGTCTCGCCTATGTAGAACTTAAGGGAGCTGGCCTTGCTCTGGGGTGGGCGTGGCTGGGGTGGGCCTTGCTCTGGGTGGGCGTGGCTAGAGTGGCCTTTGCTCTGGAGTGGGCGGGGCTTAAGGGACGGAGAAGCTGGGTTGATGATGTTCTATCTAGACCCGGAAGCCAGCAAAGCTACCCCACTGTCTTATGTGTGTCACTGGCGAGTCCCACTTCTTTCCCTTCCGGAGCTTACCTTTGCATTCACAACTGGTGCGCTAGCTTTGGGGCTATGCTGGCTTCTGACATAACCTTCCTTACTAAGCTTAATCATTTCTATCTGTGGGTTTAAAACGAGAGCTTTCTCTCACTTGAGCCTTTAGAAGCCATTGTGAGCTTGGTTTTGATGCTGTTAAGTCTCAAGGGGTTGAAAGGCTTGAAGAGAGAGAAAGATTAAGAAGGAATGTAATCCTACTAGTGGGGAAGTCAGGATACACAAACTATTTATCTCTAATGCCCACTGTCTTATATATGCCCAGTCCCAATCATATTCCATCATTTAACAATAATTAAAAAGTTTGAAACAGTGTAAGGATAACCAGAATGCGGCACAGAGGCACCAAAGCACATACAATTGGGAAAACAATGAACTGGCCTTGTGGCTGGAGAGATGGCTCAGTGGTTAAGAGCACTGGCTGCTCTTCCAGAGGGCGTGAGTTCAATTCCCAGCAACTACATGGTGGCTCACAACCATCGGTAATGAGATCTGGTGCCCTCTTCTGGCATGCAGGCAGAACACTGTATATATAATGAATAGATAAATCTTTACGGGGCGGGGAGGATGAGAAAAGATAGCTCTTAAAAAGCACAAAAAACAAAAACCCAATGAACTGACCTATGGTTACAGAAATATGATCTTTAGAACCACTACAATCGAAGTAAAGAGAATCCCAATCAAAGTGGTCAGCCTGCAATGTGGGGAGCCTTCACACCCCAGATGCTGCCACTGTTGAGAGCTAGAAATGCTACAAGAAAACTTCACACACCCACACACCCATGTTAACCTGAGGCTGGAGACTGCCCAAGCAGAGGCCTCAGAACCACTCCAGCTCCTGCTCTTCAGCAGACATAGCTCTCTCAAACTGGAGCCTTGTTACCCAGGGCTATTGTTCTCCCCCGTCTTCATATTCCAAGAGATTGAACCTTGGGTGATCTGTTGAGAGCGGCACATATGCATTCACATTTAATTCTGCCCCCCCTCCCAATTCGGTCTCATGTAGCCCAGGCTGGCCTCAAACTCACTGTGTAGCTGAGAAAAAGCTTGAACTTCTGATTCTGCTGTCTCCACTTCCCAAGTGATGGGATTGCTGGTGTTGGGTCACCATACCTGGTATATGCAGTGCTGGGGGCCAAACCCAGCTAAGCATCACTCTAACAACACAGCTACATTCTCAATTTTTAATTCCCCAAGTAGACTCAGTCATCTGCCATTCAATCTTTGCTCCCAAAAGATAATAAGCCTTGAAGTCATACTCAAACAGGGCTGTGTCTGGACTTAGAAGATCCCATAAACATGCTAGGCTTTCTGGAACCACACAGTCTAGTAGAATTGTCTGCCAGCATTGGATGTGTTCTGCACATCCCAAGGGGGTAGACACGTATGGCTATTGAGCACTTAAGGGGACTGGTGTGGCCATTGAGCTAAGTATTAATTATCTGAGTTTAAGTAGTCACATATAGCCCATGGTTATCATCCTGGGCGGGGCCATGAAGGTCTGGAGAATTATGGCTATTCTAGAAGCACAGACCAGAGGCCCTAGAGATGTGGGTACCTTGGTTAGATACCGACAGACCACCCATCAGAATCAGCCCAGGATTCATTTCCAGTGTCTGTCCAGAGCCATGTCCACTGTCTCCTCTTTTCTCAAGTGGTCCTAGACCAGCCCCTCCAGGCCAACTGTCTGGCTTGGGGTAGGCAGTTTAACCCTGTCCCGCCCTCTCTTTCCCAGAGCAGCACGCTGTCCAGGAGCTCACCAAGGCTGCTATGAGTGGAGTGGGCATCGATGGTGAAGTGCTGTCTTACCTGGAATTGGCACAGGTAGGTTTGTGGGCCCTCGGCTTCCATCACTGGTTTGTGTCCCACCTGCGTCCACTTTAACGCTGATATAAACACCCCACTGTCACATCTGTCCAAATAAAGATGTCACAGAGGTGTGCCCCTGTACCAAAAAAGATGAGAGAGTTCTACACGTCAGTCAGCATTCCACCTGCCAGTTAGTCTTTGAAAAAACTAGGACCCCCTTCCACGGCATACCAGTCTCACCCTCCTGGGGCAGTGGTTTCGTATGTGAGAGAAGCACTAGCTTAGCAGGGAAATGTTGCCTCCCTTCCTTCCTTCCTTAGGTTTTTGGACAAGTGTTTGGCCAACAACAGTTTGTAGAATATTCCATAAAGCTTTGTAAGCCCCCCTGTAAATGAATGGTTTACTGAAGGTCCCCTGGGGTTGTCTAAGATCAGTTTTGTTAGTTTCGGTGTCTACGATCCCTACACAAACATTCGTGCATGTATGTAGACACACACACACACACACCTATTCCAGAGAAGGGTAAAATTCAACTAAAGGTTTAGGAACAAATATAAACTCTGCCTCAGTTTCCCCATCCATAAGACACAAGGACGGATGGCAAAACTTGACCCCCCCAACCTTACAGATTGAGATACAAGGGAAAAAGAATGTTCAAGACAAAGCCCAGAGGACGGAAGTTCCCTAACACTGCAGAGTACTTAGGCAGAATGATCTAGTCCCAGCATAGAGATATCAACAGTAGTTTATACTCTGGGGAAAGGAGATGAGAAATAAGTTCTGAATTCATTTTTTTTTTCCTTCTGTGTGTTGAGTTTGGCTTTGTTCTCTCTCACTTAGAACAGTGATAACTAAGTCTTAGGTCAGGCAATTTAAGGGGACATTGCCCAATCACAGGAGACAAGGTGGCCTCAGGAAGAGGACAGTGGAACTACAGCAGGTGGTGCTCAGCCCAGCCAAGTGTGGCCACAGGCGATGGCTCAGGTCACAGGGAGAAGGTGGAATGGGGCATGGAACAGCCAATTCCCTCTGACTTGACAAACATTTGTTGTGTGATTCCCAAGTCCCAGGCCCTGCCCTCAAGAATAACCAAGCAGCAGACTCCCCACAGTCACAAAGACGTGAGACCAGATTCCTAAAACCCAACCTGAAAAGCCATCCGATGGAGACTAGAAGCTGAGGTTGGGTGTGCATTGCAGTAGAAGCTCTAAGGCCTCATCAGAACTAGAGTGTCCAAAATTTGAAACTGGAGGTGTTTGGAGATGCCCCCTCCCCTAATTTGAGGGGTAATTTTAAGATTTATTTATTGTATGTATATTAAGTATTCTATCTGCATGTATACCTTTATGCCAGGAGAGGGCATCAGATCCCATTATAGATGGGTGTGAGCCACCATGTGGTTGCTGGGAATTGAACTCAGGACCTCTGGAAGGGCAGCCAGTGCTCTTAACTGCTGAGCCATCTCTCCAGCCCCCAAGAGGGATAATTTATGACTGGACTCTATCCATAAGTATCCTGCATAGAAGAAATTGAAATGACTCAAAATGCCCTACTGGACAATTCACTGGAAGTAAAGATGCTTTTTCTGTCTTCCCTCCTGCTTCCTCCTGTCTTCGTGTACTCCCATGACAGGCTGTGGTATGATCACTACTAAGCCTTGACAGACCCTGGCAGGAAATTAGTATGGTGTCTGTGTCTTAGCCTGCCTGCTAGCCTTTAACCCAAAGAGGGTTTCACACATAATGGAACCCTGATCTGTTTGTTGCCTTTGCTAATTTCCATGGTGTAAATCTCCCACTGTGGCCAGTCTCAACACCAAGACTGAGTCACTGAACCCAAATCAGAGGAGCAAGCTATGCAGCCAGTTAGTTCCCTGAGCTGTTGAAAGCCCCCCACCTCTGCCCAGTGCCCCACTGCCCAAAATTTATGTCCAGAGTTAAACTGAACATGAAGAAAAAGCTGGAGGGGCCAGCCTCCAACCACCTCCATGATTGGGGTTGTGGGTCTGTCTCCCTGGAGTGACTTTTAAAGGACAAAGAGCCAAGCCTCAGAAGAACCACACTGTCATTCCCAGGTTCCCCCTTTAGCTAAAGAAACACACAGGATAAGTGAAAAGGGGTATGGGGGTCCTGCCAGGTCAGAAGAGACAGGGGGAAGTGGACCATCTGGTTTGAGGACATCAGGCAATCACTTTGACCTCAGCGGCCACCTCCCCAGGCATCTGCTCAGAAAAGCTTGAGGGAGTGAGCACTCAGCTCCTCCCACCTCACCCACAAGCCTGCTCTTACATAACCAGAGGGCAGGTACAGGACAGCAGCAGCACATTGCCTTCTTGCCTTTCGATCTTTGGCCCCAGCAAGCCGAGCTCTGACATGTGACACGGAGTATTCCATTGCTGGGGCTCCTAAAAGAGAGATGGCATCGTTCTGTCTGCAGCTGACTGGTATCTTCCAGAGGGCATGCATGGCCACCTATCACCAGAGGGCCAGGGGACAGGCAGGGCAGGCCAGCCAGGCATACTTTAAACTCTCAGTGTGATATGATGTTTATTTTGGGGAACATCTATCTCAGTAGGCAGTGAGAGAGGGTTCATGAATACTACTTGGCTGACATGAGAGCCACAGTCAAAGTCAGAACCCCGAGGTCAAGGCAAGAACTTGTATTAGTTCTACAGACCTTTTATTTCTCTTCACTCCCTCTCCCACCCTCAGAATGGTTCTGTTTCTTTGTAGACTTGCTTTAAATTTTTGTAACATTTATTGTGTGTGTGTGTGTGTGTGTGTGTGTGTAGGTCAGAGGTATTGCCAGGGTCAGGCCTCCCCATCCTCCATGGAGTCCTGGAGTTCAAACACAGGCATTAGGCTTTGGCAGCAAGCACCTTTACCTGCTAAGCCATGCCACTGGCCCATTGCCTTGCTTTAGCAAACAGAGCCTGACCCTACTCTGGTCCCCTTCCTGCAGTTTCACAATGCCAACCAGCTAGCCGCCTGGTGTTTACATCACATCTGCACCAACTACAACAGTGTCTGTTCCAAGTTCCGCAAGGAAATCAAATCTAAGTCAACAGGTAAGAGTTGAGAGTATGCATGTGAGCCCCCTGCCATCCATTCCTTACCCTTTCCAAGCCCTTGGGAGGGACCAGACTCAGTGGACACTGTGTGGTCAGTCCGTCTTGAGCGTGTGGTAGGTCACCTATTCAAGTGACACGACACCAAGAATTTTAGTTTGGGGGCTGTCTTTGCAGGATGTCTCACATAGAGAATGGGGGAGAGACTGGAATTAAGGGTGCCCTATTGCAGAGCATGCTGAGGCAATTGGCAATTGGCCTCCCCTCTATTACGGATGGGCAACCAGGGTCAAGCTGCGACTCTGGAGGCAACCAAGTGGTTTGGGGGGGTCTCTGTGCCTAGCACAGATTCTACATCTCAGGCCGTGATGTCACCATCTGCAGACAGACCTGCTCATGGCTCCTGCCACATCAGGGTTTGGGAGGCTTATAAGGAACATGTGACAGGACCCAGCATCCAGCACGGTCAGCGGGTGGGCAGATGGGCAGCAGCAATCAACAGACAGTATCTTTCCTCCCCCACCCCCACCCCCACAGACAACCAGGAGTACTTTGAGAGGCACCGCTGGCCCCCCGTGTGGTACCTGAAGGAGGAAGACCACTACCAGCGTGTGAAGAGGGAGCGAGAGAAAGAGGACCTGGCGCTGAAGAAGCACTATTCCAGGAGAAAGTGGTGTTTCTGGCACTCGTCCCCGGCTGTCGCCTGAAGAGGAGAGGGGGGACAGTCATCTGCTCGGCCACCTCCACACCATTGACAGCTCTACTGTAAAAACCAGTCTCCTCAGCCATGGGCACAGTTAGGGTCTGGGGCACTGGCTTTTCCACTTGTGTGCATTTATCTCCATCAGGGTCGAAGCACAAGCTCTCCATCCATCCACGAGCCTGGACATAAGAGGAAAGCTGGCTGACTCACGGCATTCCTTCAACTTATACCTGTCCTTTTTTGGGGGGGAGGGGGGTTGGGAAGCTTAATACACTTTAGTCCATTATTTTGTTCCTTTTTATACAAAGACAAACAAATCCAGCTTTCATGTTTCAGATTCCGGATTGGAAAATATTTTTATATATTCTCTTGTATTCCGTTGAAATGACAATACTTGTGTATTACTTTATTTCATAGGCCACAAACTGACCACAAACTTGCCCCGTGATTCTATCGGCCTCACGTGACCACTACCAAGCATTACTTGTAATTATAGAGTTATCCTTTTTTGTGAGGTAAAGGGTTGGGCTGGAAGTGTTTAATCTTTGTGCTGATGAACAACATTGTTATAATTACCTATTTACAAGATTTTTTTTCTATTTAAGTGCTAGTAATTACATGGTTATCTGTGCCAGATAAACTATGGTGAGGGCAAATATCCTACTGTTTAAGTTGTCTAGATTCAAGAGGATAACCCTCATAATCACTAGAAGGGCTTATTAAATCCCAGTACTATCAGGGGCAAAACAGGCTGGCGGACCTGATTACTGTAGACAAGAGTTTGAGTGCTACTATTGGATGACTGTGTCAGGGTTGGTGGCTCTCAGTGTTCTGTGACTCTGCTGGCAATCCCTTTGGTAGCCCGAATAGAGATGAGCGAAGGGGGAAAGGCTCGCCCACTGTCTATAGGTCTGTCACCTCGGCCCTCGCACCTGTGGCCAACTTCACTTTGTAAGACACGTATTTTCTAAACTCTTCCTAGGGAAAATTCAGGTCACCACTAAAGTAGGCCAAGGCAGACCACCTGCTCCTACAGCAGTCCCACGGAGCCCATGAAAGCCCAGAGCTGGAGGCTGGGTCCTGCATTCTCCAGCAGTGAAAGGAGCCGAATCCCAAGAGCCTAGGAAATGGTGCTATTGTGTGGGAGTTCTGACCCTATGCCCTTTGGGAAGTTTAGTTTTAGAGCAGAATGTGAGAGCAGGGGAGCTCTCAAGAGGCATTAACATCATTGCCCCTCGGCGGATTAAAATGTTACAGGACACACACATTCACTCACTGAGTGTACGTACACACACACACACGCACACACCATTAGAGCATCAAAGCGCCACACCTGCCACGGGATGTTGTGTGCTGGACACTGGGGCTCATCCTGTTGGGAGGTCACCTTACTGATGCTAAGGGCTATACTGACTTTGCTTTTGTTTTCTAGTTTTTTTTTTTTTTCCTGAAGATGGAAAGGAAACAGTTGAGTCCAAACTCCAAATGCCATATGCATTTGAAAATCTGTGTAGACCACAGGCGGGCATTTGTTTCTGGCATGGCCACATACCAGATACCCAAGCTTAGAAAGACCCAGAAATGCAATGCACGGCCCTCATGGCAGAGAGGGAGTAGCAGAAGAGGAGTGGGGGGCTGATAAAGCCTTCCTTCCTCCTTCACTTTGGTAATAGGGCAAATGACTAATGGAAGGAGAGGGTAGATAGAGTGAGAGGGTATATGTCAGGACTCGGGGAGAAATGGCATATAGCCACCTGAAAATCCTAGACGTTGTGTTTTCAGTGAGTAGTCCTAGTTGAATTATAACAACCAAAGCTCCATCTGATTGTACTCTTGCCAAAACATAACGGACACATACATGAACATGGGGCATAAGCAATAATATCCACTCATGATCTTCACAGCTGCTGGAACCAAGTGGCTGGTTCATTTGGTTGACACGGAATAGCCTTTAACCATGGCGGTTTGTTTCATGTTTTTTATTTCACAAAAAGCCAATAAAATTGTTTAGCTATATAAAAAAATGCCTCCAGTTTTGTATTTTGTGTATTGTATAAAATCCTCTTGTGTCTTTTAATAGCTTTTTAAAAGGTATCAGTACCCAAAGGTACTTCATCTTTGGAGCTTGTGTTGAGCTAATGAAGCTTGGATGATTGTCATTTGTGTTTAGTTATTTTCAGTAGAGATCCCCATGCCAACATATAGACGAGGTATATGCCACTTTGCTCTTTCTCGGACAATACCATGTATCACTTGGCATTGTGTGGTCTTGGGAAGTGGAGATCATGACATCCCCATTCTATTGGAATGGTTGAAATCAGAGTTTGGAAAATTCTGACAGCAATTAAATAAAAGGTCTGGATTGGTAGGCCCAGAGGCAAGTTCGAGAAAGACTCTGGAAGGATCCATCTATAGTGTCTAGATAATAAGGCTCCTGAAGCTTCAGGAAAGTAAGGTCTTAATGAGATCTCACAGAGTGGCTGAATTCTTTGTAACTTCAGGGAAAGAGTTGACCCTTGTAAGAAACAGTCATAGGAGGCCAACAATGAGATATGTCCACACCATTACAAGGATCCAACCATGGCGTGGTACACATAGGCACACCAGTGCAGTCAAAACCTGCACAGAGTTCTGCCAGGCAACCTGCAGGGTTTTACACACACTAGATCTCAACCCTCCTCAAGAAGCATCTTGGAGGTCACAGACCCTACTGGTCTAGAAGGAGCTTAAATATTCTGTAAACACTAAAATGCAAAAAGCTCAATGATCCTAAAATTTCAAGTTGTACAAATTCAGTTTTCCTGTCTCTGACACGGGTTAAACAGAAGGAATTGTACCAGAGAAAAAACCAGCCAAGTCCCAACTTTGGGAATTTTGTTAAGTGTAATGTTTCTGAAATGCATGCTTCTCTGTAACTCAAGACTCACAAACCTTTCCCTTGAATCACTTATAGAATAGATACACATACATACATACATACATACATACATACATACATACATACATACAGATTCTGGTAGGCAAGGAGTAATAATCACTTCTTTCTAAAAGAATTTCACTGTTGCCTGAAAGTTGTTGTTGAGGTTAGCCCATAAAGAGCATGTGTATGCAGTGTGTTATTTGTTTGTAACCTACAGTTAGTTATCAAAAAGCAACACCCCAGAGCAAAAACAAAGGCTAAAGGGGCAGGCATCGTTGCCAAAACTCAAACTTCCATTGAGAAGCTGAGTTAAGCACCTTAGGCCATGAATGTATTCTCTTCCAAAGTGCTAACTTATAAGCTGACCACCTATCTCAAAACTTCCTTGATCTTTTCTCATGAAGACTTTAGTGTTTGTTGCAATAACAGGCTAGGGATGACCAAGTGGGCAACTTAAAAACTGAGTTTATCTGACCCTGGCCTCTGGAACCTGAGAAAGTCTAGGAGCATGTTGCCAGCATCTGCTAGCACGGAGGGTCACCTGGCTGTGTCGCGACATGCTAGAGAACAGAGCCAACACATGTCAGTTCAGGACTCTCTTTTTATGAGAAAAGAAGTTTCATGCCTCCAGTCTCTTGGCTGGGACATGAAACTTGGAGCAGCCATGCTCCTCAGCACCTGGTGCAACGTCTGTCTTGATTAATGCACGTTTTATCCCTCTCCCATAACTGAATGTTCAATCTCTGCCCTTGAAACATGCCAAGTGTCCTCCGATACCGTGTGTTTCACGCCATAATCATCTTGCCAATGTGTTCCATGACAAACCCCATCTGTCATCTGTTTTGACGATTTTCTGGTTTGGAAACCCAGCCACATGGCAATACACACAGCCCACCCTTTGCCCCCTGCTGTCCCCTAATACTCTAGGCACCTCCATTCTGCTGGTTCCTATTGTTCTCACTTTGCGTACATTTTCATGGGAAGCCCAGGCGATTGAATCTTGAGCTTGATAGTAACGATACACTGCCCCATGTTCTTTCCATTTCATTGAAATGTTTCTTTGCCATACCCAATTGGGTGGACCACTCTCCATCCCATTCCATTGGTGATGAGAATTCACGATCAATACACACACACACACACACACACACACACACACACACACACACTTCCCCTACCCTGTTCTGTCCCTACAGTAAACATTTTTTCCCCATGCCTCAGTATAAAAATCCAAACAAGGATAAGGACTCCAGGGCCCTCTCTAGATAGAACTAATCCCAGCCTCCAGAGCAGATGGGCCCGCATGGAAATGCTGGCTTTGATGATGAAAGTCCTGGCCTACCGCTGCTCCAAGACAACATGATTCAGCAGAGCTGACAGACTCCGACCCAGACAGGCCAGCCAGGCGACAGCCTGTCCTCTGACCAGCAAGAGGAGAAACTAGGTTTAGCTTCCTGCCACCTGAGAAGCTTAAATAGGTCTTCCTGACAGTGCATATTATGAGCTATAAGGATGAGTTATTTGGTCTTGTCTGGCCTTGCCTTTTTTTTCTAAGGTCACCTAACCCTCATGAAAGGCAACTGTTTTCCCATAGTCCCTTGGTTACTGGTTTCCTGGCTTCGAAGGATTCCCCAGTTTTTAATCCATTCACAATACACACAGGTTGCACATCTTGCACACATCTTGCACACCATACATCTGTACGATTGCAACTTTTATTTGCCAATTATACCATAGGGCTCTGGGGAAAATAATTCCTGAGCAAATTTGTCCAACATGCACTAAAAACTGACTTCTGATTTTGTCATTATACATAGCTTAAAGAAACATAATCTGCCACTATTGTAGATTGTTCACACTGCCTGGTGAACCCTCCATATTCTATCTTGAGAAAGAGCTTCTCTTTCTCCCAGTGCTCTGTTCCAGGGGGCAAACACCATCACTTACACAACTGAGGGGTTTGGACCACTGACTGATCTGTCAACCTTGTCACCACTGAATGCTTCGACCCCGTCCACACCACCACCAAGATTCCCCTTCACTTTAGATACCTGAGTAATTTCTTTGGGTGGAAAAACAGCTGAAACGTTTATTTCCTAGAATAAAGGACTTGCCAATCAGAATGAAAGAAAGGAAAGAGAGGAGAGGAGAGGAGAGGAGAGGAGAGGAGAGGAGAGGAGAGGAGAGGAGAGGGGAAGGAAGGGGAGGGGAGTTAGGAGGGGAGAGGAAGAAAGGGGAGGTTGCTATTCCATTTCCCAGCAATGCCATGCTGTTCGCTTCTATTGCCCCTATTTTGCATAAATTTGCATTCATTTACATACAGAGCCAGGGTGGTTAGATTTCCAGTATGCTACTTCCAATATGCTTTCTTGATGCTCTTTCCATTTCACTCAAATGCTTTTTTCCTATATCCAACTGGGTAGACCAATGCTGCACACCTTGGCACCACTCTACCAGAATCCAAAAGACAAGGACAGAGACATCCTAACTAGACATGATATTTGGAGTCATCCATGATAGCCATGCACTAAGATAAGTGCCTTGCATTTGTTTCGTACTGTTCTTGAGGCATTTTCTTACATGGACCCTGAGATGAAGAAGTCTCACACACAAACGATTTACTTAGGAGATGCCCTTGCAAGGTGAATAGAAAGGGAAGAGGCAGGGAAGGACAAGAAGCCAGGCCCTTTTGGGTGGGAGAATTAGGGCAGTGGCCCCAAGAGCACACAGCAAATCCTGCAATGAGCCTTGGATGCGAGCTCTTAAAAGCAAAGAAAGGAGCATGAGGCCCCCAAGGAAGAGGTTCAAGAAACAGGAACTTAAGCCAAAGACTCTGAGGAGGGATCAATCACCCCTACCTCATCACTTTTATTCTGAGATCTCCCAAGGCCCCCAGACTATTTGATACACATTATCCCCTTTGAAACTTGTGTTGAAATTTGAAGGCCATAGTGGCAGCATTTGGAAGTGAGGCCTTCTATAGGTCACACACTGAGTCTCCTTCAGAACCTGTTTAGATACAAAAATCAAACCTGCCCCTCAAATCTTGTCTCCTCTCACACATGCCCCTTGACCCCTCCACTTTTCCCTCTGGTCACTGAAAATCATGAGGCCCTTCACAGCTGTAGCTTTCAACCTTGAACTTGCCAGACCCCAGAATCATAAACCAAATAATCTTCTGTTTGTTTGTTTTGAATGCACCTAGGTACTTTGTCAAAGCAGCAGAACACAGATGGGGGCAGAAGAGGCACATGGATGGGAGTGCCCTGTGCTGGGGAATAAACTCATCCTTTGTTATTCAAAAATACCTGTCAGATCAATTTGAGGAAGAAAACTCATCCCTTTGTTATTCAAAAATACCTCTCAGGTCAATTTGAGGAATGCCAAAATATGAAAAGTTCATCGAAATTTTTCCAAGTCCCGGAACCTTAAACAGTCATTCTCCCAGCCCCAAACAAACAAGACTGTATCCAAAATGGAACCATTGGTTCTGCCTGAACCCATGTAAAATCATATCATAATAAA